ACTACTACTATACCCCCACGATAACACATCCATCCGGTATTCACTACTTCATTTCCCTTCGTATAGTCACCCAACACTGTGCCAGCCACCTAGCATAGGGCGTCCGATTCGGGTTTTTCCGCACGTTATAAGCAATTTTATCCCCGTCCTTTCGTTTCATCTCCTCCATTTTCCTCTTCTTCTTATCCAGGATCGCCGCCACGTGCTCTTCTACCTGCAAACCTCAGCCTAACTATACCGTATTACACTTATAGATTTTATCCACGTCTATATTTCCGCAAGAAATCGATTATGAATTCGAGAGAAACCTCACAGTAGGAGCATCCGATGCAGCTCCAATACGCTTAGGAGCATATCTCCTAAAGTTTCTCTCGATAATCAGCCTAAGAACTCCACTCGAGAAGACTGCCAACCATCGAGATCGATTTCTCACGATGTGGCCGAGGTGTGGTACGACAGGAATTAAAAATTCGGCTAAAAACCAAACCCAGTACTCACTTGTGTTTCAGTGAACATATATGATATGCGCTTCTCCTTCCCAACACCCACATGCACCACCTCAGCCAGAGTAGTAATAGCAATTTTTCGCTGACCACCTTGCGCACAAGTACTTTTCACGAGCACAGACAGCCCAAAGGTGCTTTCTGTATACTCCTTAGGAATTCTGCCAATCCATACCAACACCCCAGCCTCCTTACCCTCAACACTACAGCAGCTATTCCTAGCGCTAGGCTTTGACCGATAGTCGCTCCCATACGCCCACAGTTTACACTTTCTATTCAAGCAGCGAACCGCCACTTTCAATCGCATACCATAACCGAACTCCCATTCGAACTTCGGCAGTTCAATTGCAAAATACCTGGGCACGTTCAAAGAGATATCGCATTGAAGTTCTTGTGGACACTTCATCGTAGTTCTAGGAGCAGCAACGCTAGCACGAGGCACCGCCGCAACTGTGGTTCTCTTCTTGCCGACCTCTGCCAACTTCAACCAGCTTTCTGCGATACGTTTTTCAACATCCACCAATAATTCGGCGAAGGCAAGATGATCCCCCCTTGAAGAGGGTTCCAAGTCAGGCTTAGTATCTTCCAGTGCGAGCTGCTTCTCACTTGCAGCCATTTACAACTACAATACTAACGAGATCACGCGCTGAAAATACTAAGGCCACAAGTCTAGAGAGCTACACCGATATTCACGAACGAGGAATCCAAACGCTGAAGCAGGTTAGTTTCAATCGCTCATGATACAGCTCTAAGACCAGTCATCAAAAGATAACACTATCGCAGTGGGCTTTTTAATGAACCGTATGAAAAATGCATGAGAAATTTCGCCACCGGGGATTGAACCAGCGATCAAATCCGCACCGGCATAGATATGGGATATGCTTCCGCTCGTCAACATTTTTTCCTCTACTGTCAACTTTTTCGCGCTCGCCCTACGGACAAAATTCATTAAATCAGAGTGTCTCGTTCGACCTGCCTTATCCTGTTAAGGACGTAACTGAAAACTTAGAGACCCTATAGCGGGTCCTCTCTTGAACACGGCCACTACTCCGGTGCCTGGTTCACATGAGTAACATACTCAGCTTGGATAACAGTTCGGGTTTCGGGCGCCCCGTCGAATTTCGGGTTGGGTTTCGGCTTACCATTTCACCGGTAATTTCTTCTCTTCTGGGGAAGCTCGTTGTTTGGATTGCACTTGCATCACAGACTGTAATTTACAGTCATTACTCGGGTAACAGTTTTTAGCGTGCGAGCGGCCACGCTACTGTGATTGTCGTGTGAGTTAACCCTCAGTCTGTTCTTATATCAGTCCATACCGCACTTCTTGCAAATGATAGGGCGCCAAGATTAGAATTTCTCGCCGCTGACCGCCCACGGCCAGAAGGGCGTGTTGGCAATAGCATCGAGCTTGCATTGAAGTACCTTCTAATTATCGCTATAACAACAGGCGACTTGAGATGTCAGAAAATTCGTTAGTCTTCAACCTTATACGGCTTATACGATTGATAACAGATTCTATTAGCAACTACATACCACAAAGTGAAGTCCCAAAAAAGTCTAACATTTCCCCTCCCCAATGACTGCTTCACTCCATCGAGTGTTGGCAGTAAAAAATACTAGTCACCAGCAGCATTGCTTCTTGGACACATTGTGGCACGCCTTTTACGCTTGATTCGCTACTTGACCACTGCTTGAGTTCGATCTGGCTGATAACGGCCATGAGCGAGGAAGCCTTCTGAGCTTATGAAGAGCTTCCGTTGGAGCATCGAGACAGCCAGAGTGACGATGATACTGCTTCCCATCACAACGAGAAATACAATCATCGCAGTTGACGAATAAAGTCCGCCTGGCAAAGTGTACATTATGAACCCACCCGCGAAAGTGCCATACGTAGCCCAGCCGTACATTAGTATAGCGAGGTTAGCAGCAAGAACACCACATACCGCGCCAAAGGTTGTTACCATCGAGTAAAGACCACAGTACGCAGGCATGCAAATGGTAGCAGCAACAAGATCGGCGACAAGGAAAAGATTGATGACCGATATTCCCCTCATAGCAAGGGCGATCGCCGGGATGTTCATCAGGACCAATAGCAGTCTACCCCAGTTGAGACTCCAACCACGCTTCACAAACTCGGCCGCGAACACAGAGAGGAGCGCTGACTGTAGCGAATCGACACTCGACGTGCTGAGACATATGGCGAGGACCACTACAGCCCCAACCGCCGCGTTCGGCAATACTCCCAGCAGATCGAAGAATGCCAATGCCTTCGTGTAAGGATGCAAAGTAAGGTGAGGTACCGGACGAGCTCGATCCTGTGCTTCAGCGAGCATGCCTAGGATACCAAAGGCGAGCATAGTGAGGAACACGAGGGAGCCACCGAGGAGCAAGCCCATCCTGAGATTGAAGTCGTTCTTGGCTGCCCATACCCGTTGCCAAACGACCATATCGAGCAACTGGAAACCGAGAATAGCCAAGACGAGCGTGATGAGACTTTCCAAGCCCAAAGTAGTAAAGTTGGCAACAGCATTCCAGTTAGCAGTAGTGACGGTCACATTGGTCGAGGTGGCGACCACAGCAAAGACTATGAGGCCAACTGCGGCTAAGCCCTGCGCCATATCGGTAAGAATGGACACGGGAAGGCCGGCTACTAGAGTGTAACTTAAAGTGATTACGGCAACTGAGAGTGTTGATAGCCAAACTGGGATGCCAGAGAAGATTTCAATAACCTGACCAACGGCAGTGTATTCAGCCGTCATGCTGATCCACATTATGAAGATAGACACCAGTACTGCATACACTTGGACGAGGCGACCAAATCTGGCCAGAATCCAGTCAGTTGCCGCGTACCCTTCACTGCCCCCCGCAGACATATAGGAGTTCAACTTTGCTCTTATCCTCACACCGAGTATCCAGATGATAGCCATAGGGACGACACAAGCGAGTGCATACCCGATCACCCCCCACCAACCCAGAAATGTCCCAACTTCAGGCGCAGCATAAATAACCCACGTACCCATACCACTAGCGAAATACGACGCTCCAATCCATGCCCAGCTGAAGCGTTTCCTGGCAACATAGAAGTCCTCTTGGGCATCAGTATTTGCCTGTACCATGACGCGGTAACGGAATAGTAGTAGTACATAGGCGACAGCCGCGAAGACGCCTAGAGTGATGTAAAGGATGAGGTAGCCCGAAAGCTTAGAGAGTCGATACGATAGCATGGTCGTCGTTGATGTTGTTGATTACTCGCTTCCTACGCAGGTGTTGTCCTGATCAGGTTCTAACGGTGTGATCTCAGCAAGTACCAAGGAGGAGCAATGATACGAGCACCCGTGCGAGTGGAAAAGAATGAATAACCTACAAGGAACCAACTAGTCAACGGAATATCACGTTGTCTGGTGGTATACAGTGAATTTATCCTAGCACGCGTGGGGAAAATGAAGAGCAAAATTCGAACTGCACGCATAGTCCGTGTTGTGATTGTTCTTGCGTGCAGATGCATAGTAGTAAACCTTTCGGGACTTTTTTCAATAGCTCGTATGCTAAAGCCCAGGTTTATCCTTTACCCTCCCAGGGAGGGAGGGAGGGAGGGCCTCCCTCGTCCTTACAATAGAGAACACTGCGTCCTTTGTTTGTGTTACACTGGCACGCAGAAGTTCTATCACATCACTAACGATACGACAGAAATCGCTAGATGGTTTAGACTGTATCCCCGAGCCAACTGAAAAGGACCACCCTCAGATGTTGTGGCTCTAGAGTTTCCTCCTGAAAACTGATATAGTGTCCTGCTCGTCATCATGGCATGGTATAACTCCTATTCCTCTTCGCTCCGCCTTGCTAAGTACCAGAGTTGACTCCCAACAAGAGCTCAACTATGGCGCAGAAAAGCCTTTTGTATATGCGTGCAAGGGTGTAAGGGCATAATTGATTGTTGAAGAGCGCAAGTAATACAATAGTTGTAGTTGTGCAGAGTGCACAACTATGGAATCTTAGCTTAGCTCGAAGCTAGTTGATGACTTTATGAGTACGATTGTAGATAGAATCTCTAGATTCCATTAACTATTGCCTTGAGTTCCCAAATGGTTAACAAAAGTGCAAGAATAACCATTCCCACTTGCTAGAGTCACAGTAGTGAACACAGAGTGACTCGGATAGAGAGACACAATGCTTGACCACGAAATACAGCTGCCTTGTCCTCGCATGCCAACAACTCCTTACAGTTGTGAACGGATCTACTCGGAGTCGTGATTGAATCATCCGTTGATACTCTAGGTAGTCGATGCTACTGACTCCGGCAACACGATCTCCCGAGGTATCAGATAATAACGGAGTGCAGAGACCTTGTGTACCACACCATCAACACCTTGTGTTATAACATACCAGAAATGGTCATCGCACATATCCCATCTCAGCAGGAACGGTCACCAATCCCAGTCCGATACGTACACGTACCATCATACTGTGTAAATACCCAGACTCAACTGCTATGCATTGCACGACACAACCCATTGTGATCTCTACTAGCCTCAAACTGCTAACACCAGTCGACGAACCCTCAATACTACTGAGCTAACAGTTCATCTCTTGTGCGAAGAACCGTTTCGTCAGAAATACGCGGGCAAAGCAACAGCGACACTTTCGCTATATTTTTACGCCGGCGAGCAGTCAACGGGAGACAGAATGATACCCTGCTTGCCTTCTGAATCGCCCTGGTCGGGTCGGAATTTTTGCTCACGCACGGACGGACGAACGGATGCACGCGAGTGTCCCGCTCGCTCCGCAATTCATGAGTGCAGTTGTAGACTCGGCTAATAATACATTGATGCATCTGAAGTGTGCGTTACACGCATGTGAAAGGCTATTGAGAGCCCAAGAGCAATGAGGAGAAACCAAGCAAGAGGCGGTAGATAAGCTTTACACCAAAGTATGGCTCGGGGCCCGAGCCTCGGGTTTGGTGAAGAAACCAGCTTTTGGCTACCCTACGGCTCTTAAAGAGTCGCATCAACATCAATGCCGATTGGTTAGTAAAGGGTCACTCTTTACTGACCAATCGGCATTGATGTTGATGCAGATTCAAAAAGTCAAGTGTTGATCACAGCTCCAAATGCCCTACCACGGAGCCATCGGAAGTTCAGAGACTTTGAAAGAGTTCAAGGCTGACATTAGTTATGCGCACGCCAGGCTGATATTAAATATCAGCCTCAAAGGCCTCACTGTGAAGTTGAAGGACCGATGATGATGATGATTCAGACTACGACTGTACAGACTCAGAGCCCCTCTGGCCCGATACTGGTTCAATCGCTTACACTGGACCTCAACCCGGGTTGTTGTATCGCTTTGATGGGGCCTAGTAATAGCACTCTCATACGCTTCGTGCTCCTCTTTGGTGGATGACTAATCGGGTGGAAGTGGCAAGTCGGCGCTTCTTCGTACACTCAATGGGACATGGCCGATATATGAGTGGCTTTCGTTCACGACGTGACCGTCACGTGTATCGTTCCATGCGTTTGGCATGCTTTGGTGAGCTGGCTCGTCCCAAACATGGGGTTGTACTAGGACCCCAAGGACTGTATATGCTTAGAGAGTTCAGCACTAAGCAACAAATCACGTAGGTTGGCAGATAGATGTCTTTGGAGTTACTAGAGGTTTTCAAATATCCCGATGGCCCCCCAGTGAGCCCTGCTGCTGAGGACAGAGTAGCGCAATGCATGCGTATACGTGAGGAGCTGTTAGTATCCACCCTAGTTTCGACTCCTTGGTGCCAGGCGAGCTCGATAAGCTTTCTGGCCGCCACACCTTTCCCGAGGCGGAGCAGGAGAAAGTCGTATTGGCTGACTACTACTTAGACTAAGCGCGCATCTCAAGCAGTCATCAATGAGAGCGAACTTTGTTCTATGATGGAGAGGTCGAGCCAATACGACTAAGTGACAATACTAAGTGACTTAGTGGGAAGTAAAACTTACTCGCCCGGACAGAACGTCAGCATTAGACAGATCATATACACCCGTCTATTTAAGATACCGATTTGAAGCTCATTGGTGAAGTAATCTCTCTGTCATGCTGACTGTCACAGTCAGACTGTGGTGTTGTTATGGTCTGTTCAAAACCCGACATGGTGCACTTCACAACTTCTATTCAGGTGGAAACGCTATCCCACTATGTGTAATTCGATGGGATCCTGACGTTGCATAATAAGTTAACTCCACCGTGCCACAGCTTCACCGTCTGCACGTTGGCGGACGTCAGGGATGATAAGTTGCTGTCAGCGTCAGCAAATTGCTGACGCTGATGCGCTGAACGGCTGATGGGACAAAATTTGTTATTTTATTGTAGCTTCGAACATGTATGAAATGAGTTTGTTGCCTTTGGGAGGCCCGTATGTATATTCCATGGATCCCATCAATTTGTGAGGACGTAAAGCCTGCTGCAACATCGTGAACTCTCTTGAAATGTTGGTCGTGTCGAAGCTTCACGTTTCGTAGCATCAATTCCCAGGCCTGAGCACCATAAATGAACACAAGTCGTTGATATGAACCAGAACCGGAGGAGTGGCCTCTCTAAATATTCGGCAAAATTGAGTCACCATTCAAATAACTTCCATAAACGACGTGTGCGCCTTCTAGTTATGTTAGCCTGAATATTAGTTGAACTCCATTAGAGTTACCCTATTATTCAGCTATTAATGAAATAAAACGAACCATCGCATGTCTATCATGGGGGAAGAAGTAATACTTTTGAAGTATGGACGAGCTGGGCTCGGATAATGGATAATACCCCAGTATGAGGGTCATAAATCCCTACTATACTCAAGTTATGAGGGGGTCTCATATTTGGATCTTTATCTCATGTTATAGCGCGCGTAGGTGCAGTAAAGATCTTCAGGAGTATCTGAGGATCGATTAAGAAATGTATCAGACTACAAGTTACTTTCGAAGACAAGTTGTGGACGACAACTGAGCTGAGTCACAGCAGCTGAGAGCTAAGAGACTTGAGTCTTGGTTCAATGCCCTATCCACTTTCAAACATATGATTAGATGTATTGAGCCCAGAAAGATACACAGAAACTCACCCAATATATTGATGAAACCCGCCTTGCTATAAAGTTCTCTTGCATGATCGTTCGTGCGTTCAACCTCTAGGTAGATTACGCCCCAGTTCGGATACTTTGTTGGAAACTGGAAGACAACAAAGATTGAAGTTTACTCCTAATGAACATTTTCCGTGAAAATGGAGGCTGCGATGCTCGACAGAGGACAGCGGCAGAGGAGTCCATCGCAGGTAGCACCTCCTTGAAGGTCTCCGAAAGGAGTGTCGATGCAATTTTCTGCCTCCGCCACTTTTCCAGGACGTAAACCTGAAAGTTCGGTTTGCAATCACAGTTCGTCCAACGGCAGGATTCGGCTAACCATAGCAATATATCCAATCATTTCATTCTTGCTCCCTTTCGGTCTGTAAAGATGATGCATGAGGAGACATCCAGCGGGAAAGGGCCAGACCACTAGATCCTCCGTCAATAGTAGGAGTGCTACTGTAGGACTCACCTGTGGTATTTGATCGCAGTCTTGATCCCTGCAGGTATGTTATGCATAGGGATGTCCATACTGACCACGCCGACGACAGTCTGGGGAGGTGATTGCTCACGGAACAGTCATCGTAAGCTGCCCCGTAGTTACTGCTGGGTGCAGCTTGCTATCCTCAACTCATTCGTAGTCCACACTAGCGAGTCGATCATGCCGACGGCACTATCAGTGCCGAAGTGCATATGCATCGCATTTCATCAAATGCAACAGCCATTTGAAGAAGAATTTCGTAAATTTCGTGAGTATTCGATGTTTTTTCAATACTCAACTACATATCCGTCTGACAGAGTTAGAAAGTATATGGTATACGCACCTTAGATCCACTAGGCACTGCGACATAACATAAGTAAAGGTCACAAAGTGGAGGAATGTGTTCATCTCCCACGCGGGATGTGTCATCGCCCTCCTGGAATTCCCGATAAACCACTCCATTAAGCGAGCGCAGTGCATGGGGCTTCGACACGGAATGAGCCAGATGGTCTCCAATCACCGCGGAGGAGAGCAACCCAGAGAGCAGAGAGATGAGAAGCTTCATGTATGTTGTAGAGGGGGAATTCACCTGAATTGCAGCAAATCCCCGCGGTCATGATGATTGTTCTGATCTCATCAACAGAACACTATTAGTCAACATTTCTCATGCAAGTACAGCAGACAATTCTGTGCATACGTATCTCTTTGTTCGTGCGTGCGCTGTACACAAACACACAGCACCGAGTACTCTCTTGGCCTTACGACTGGTACGATTGGTTATACCAGTTTTCGGTGGACCTCCTTAAGCTACAAGATCCTCTTGTGTTACACCAGTCATGGCCAATGATGCTCCAATTTACGACTGTATTATCATGCATGATCCATGCTGAGCATGGCACGCCCTAAGGGTATGCGAGTCACGAGAGCATAATGCTCTCGTGCAATGATTGCTCTTGGTGGTCGATGCTAGTAACTCTGGCAACACGATCCCTCAGGTGGGTACCAAATAATACCTCAGCTGCGGCCGACGAAGCTGGCACGAATGCCAACAAAGAGATCCTCATAATATTCCACGAAAGACTTTGAATGCATTCGATCGTTTCACGCATACGCACGTGTGACACGTGACGTGCCAGTGAACGACTACATTGTAGTCTGGCATCTTTCAGGTTTGCCCTTGTGTGATGTTCCTGCATGAAATATACAAATTCAATTTGTATATTTGTCAAATTGGCAGTTACCGGTATGTAACAACGCTGCGCTAGCTTTATGTTTCGGCTATTTGCTCTCTTGTAAATTACGCCCTGCGGGAATATATACTAGCGTTTTGCTCATTCGTTCAAACTGCGTCTCTGTTAGCGTTTTAGCAAACTTGTCATTTCGCATTATTCGTGCGAGTAATATACAATCTAGCAAACATAGTTATGGGATAGCATTTCTCCTTCGATTAGAGTATTGCGCCTTATATCCATTCTGGTGCATGTTCATGCCCTGTGCACTTACTAAGTTAGTAATACTAACTATCTATCAGAGGTGTCACACCTCATGTCTCACTTAGTACCGGATCAAAGCGTGATAGCAGCCTAGTGAGATATATCATTCACTCTGAAGACAGCGCGAGTTATGATCAATGCTGAATACCAAAAACATGATTACTCTTGCACGTCGCGATTGAAACAGATGAGACAACAGTTAAATTGAATCCCTATCAGGTTGGCCATCTTCAAGTATCCTCTCTCTTTTTAAATCGTATAAATTGTGTCCCATGGTTCACTACGATTGTGCGTATTGACGACTCAACAATACCCAAAAGTAAAAGTTTTACTTCTCAACTTCTCAACTCCTTTTACTTCGAAGTAAGGTTTCACTGTAAAACCCTTAAGTAGGCATTAGGTAAATATTATGGGCAACTTTGACATTCTACACGAGAAACATTTACTCATGGGCAGTGGCACTCATCGGAATGCCTTCGTGGAGCTATTATTATGGATTGTGCAGAGGTGTCGAAGGATTGTACAGGGGTAACGCAACACGGAAAGAATTACTAAATATGAAGTCTAAAGCCCTCCGCACAAAACTTGTGCGATAATGGCCCCAAATGTGGCGTCTCTACGGGTTATCGACGGCTAATTGTTGGAGGTATCTTTTGAGATGTATCAGTGCTAGTGTACGATCAGAGCTGATGGATAGCTTGGAAGAAAAGGGTCTTTTAGTTTCTGCTTCGGTTGAGCAGCGACTGCAACATGCTGAGATGTTTTTGAGAGGTGCTTACAGTATCACGGATGTTACTGTGAAGTATCGTCAACGACTTTTTCAAGTTAAGCAGAAAACCAATGAGCTTATTGGTGAATATATTATTCGTCTGAGGGAATCTCTAGCGGAAGGTCGATGCTTAGGTATTAGTATTGCCAACGATGAGTTGCTGGATAAGTTTGTTCGTGGGTTGCGACCAAATTATCAGAAAGCGGTGACGACTATTTATGCTCATGTTCGTGATACCAACGAGTTATGTAGTGTCTTAACTCTTTGGGAAGCCTCTTATAATGAGTCTGGTGCTACTGTAAATGTTGTTAGTACTGGTGAAGACTCGGTTAATGTTGAAGGTTCTCAAGTGGGCCAAGGACTTCAGAGTCAAGAAAGTGCTCAAGTTAAAGTTAAGGTCCCTACTAAGTGTTGGTATTGTAATGGTACTGGTCATATGAAGCGAGATTGTGATCTCTGGAAGGCTAAAGTGAGATCTCAGCCGACTCAGATAGTTAATGCTGATGTTACAAAATCTGTGGATCCTTCATCCGTCGTTGCTTCTCAGCAATTGAGTCCGGGTTCTGTGAATGCAGCACCAGCGGTTGCTGTACCAGCAACTACCAAACCTATTGGTAATAAAAGTTCTGATCAAGATCCTGCTAGTGTTGCTACTCGAGGATTTGAGAAAGTATCGGTTATCTCTGCTATAGTGAGTGGTAAGAGACATTGTATGGTTGATCTGATTATTCGTCAGGGTTACTTTTGGTAACGGTGAACGTGTAGCTGCTTTAGGTTGCTTCTTTGCTTCTCTAGAGGATGGCGACAAGAAGGAGTTAGTGAAATCCGTTAAATTCAAGGTAATTGAGGGATTAACTCCCCTTGTCATCGTTGGTTTTGAGACTATAAAACGTTCTACTCTACTTCAGTCAATGCTACTTGCTAACATATCGAGCATAGCTATTGATGGTGCGACTTCTGATACCATTGATGTCAATGATCATATTGCAGTAGTTCAACCGGATGAGGTCAGAGCTGCGACTAATATGACTCTGGATGACCATGGTTGTACTGTAGGTTGTCCTGTAATGAATGCTCATTCGGTGATGCCTTATGCTGAGCCTCGGAGAAGGAGGAGCCGAAGTAAGGAAATTGCTATTCATAGGAGGGTTCTTATAGCTGCTTACGAAAGAAAGTTTGTTCCTATTGATGTTACTTCAGCGACCGTTATAAACGAGGTTATTCTGGTTGATGAGGGTTCTTCAAGTGGAGAAGTTCGTCCTTCAGAGCGGAACGTTCTGCCTACTGCTATTGTTAATGCTTCGTGTGTTGATTTTGAAAAGATCACCGATGCCGAGGGGAAGAAGAAATGGATACGTTCGTGGAGTGGTAAATTTCAATGGCTTTCGAGGTGGTTATCCTCTAGAGCCAGAGTTGTTCTCTCCAGATTGCATAAGGTCTCTCCTGATGGTAATGAAGCTGTCTCGCTGGTTCGAGAAATTGCAGACTATTATTTTAGTGGTCTTGCATGCCTATATGTCTTCGGATATTCTGATACTTTTAAGGTATTAACGAGTGTGATCATGACCGACTGCAACAAAGAGGTATGGTCTAGTATCCTCTAAGAGGTGTTGTAAAATATGCTGTACCTCGCCAACAATTGTTGGTGAGGAAGTTACCTCTCTGAGGAATTTCAGCTCGAAGTCCGAGTTGACCGGAGTTCGATGATCGAACTTCGATCGAGCGATAAAATTCCCTTTCATGATCGATCATTTTGACGCGCTCCTAGCACGTGCGCGAAAAACATTTTCCTTCAGAGGTGTAAAACTTCCACTCTTAGTTTCCAGCTTAACGGCGTTTTCCACTACTGCAGGTGTGCCGCAGTATAGTATGTACTACATATCAGTATTATAAATTAAATCCTATAATAACACGCGTATTACAGCTTCGTATTGATCTACATGACATCAAGAGAAATAGTCGAGTGCGCTTATTGCAACAAGCGCGACCGTCGTGATAATTTCAAGAAGAATAAACACTTCGAGAAGAATCACCCTGGCCGCTTGGTCGCCTATAAGACCCTAGATACGGGCACTATTCCCTTGATGGATTTTCTCTCCAAGAAGCGTAAGAGAGATGATGGTGAGTACAGCCTAATCGCATAACTCGTCATCACTCGTTTCAGATTGTACAGATGCGCCCGAAGCAACGGTAGGCTCCATGTCGTCCCATAGCCCACAAGCCGCACAATTTCAACCCCAGAGCAGCAGCTCTTCCTCTAGTTCCGCCCAACCTGAGCGTGATATCAGTGAGACTATGGACCCAGCGACGGTTGGATCTCTTGACGAGGTGGCCGCAGCTTCCGATGGTGGCAGAGTGGCACAAGTATCTCAGAGCTCTGATATAAGTAGAATCCAATCTGAACCGGCAAACCAGTCTACAGGACGAACGGGATTTTTCCCCATATTCGATAACCCGGCATCGATGGGCGCTATGCTACGAGCTCAGTCAGCCCAGATCAGGGAGCAAACGGCGCTTCTGAAATGTATGGATGAAAAGATAGATTCACTTGGTGTCACCGAGCGACAGCGCCGAGATCTTGTGGAATTCAAGAGAGCAGTTCTCTCTACCGGACCATTCCGCATAAATGAGGTATTTCAGCAAGTGGAGTGCAACGTCTGCAATCAATATAAATATTCCTTATTAGCGAGTGAGCGTCCAGGCGGTATTGGCCGTATCGGCGTATTTCAGATCAGCGATGATTTCGATAGTGTGAAAAGACGCAACCTTCTTGCGTCTCTCCGTGACCACCTGGGGACGGTGACGCATGAGCGCTGCGCCAAGCTAGCAGACTCTGGAAAGCGTCAGAAGGATATGGAAGCTGAAATGTGCTTAGCTCGCTGTGTATATTTCTCTCTGATGGAAGGCTTGGGGGGCCTGGGGTATGAGCGTCTTTTGGCGTTATGTTCCTTGAATGGTACTGACCTCGGAGACCAAGGTCACTCAAGGAATTCTTTCAAAGCCGTATTCACTAAGGCTATGGCGTCGGAGTTGAAGGAGAGAATAAGCAGTCTTTTCAAACATCAGTGGGCGTGTTTCGCCGGTAGACCTTCACCATTCGCAGTGTCTTGTGATAAAGTGACCATTCGCCGACGTACCTTACAACCAGTAGGGGCTTTCACGATGGTCAATGGAATGATAAAGGTTTACTTGTTGGATGCTCCAATTGCAACGGCAAAAAGTGGAGATGCTTTGACTGATCTGCTTATCAGTACTATCAAGGAGTACTTCGACATCCCTTTCGTCCAGGCCTCCATGGTTGGGGTTGCAACGGATGGCGAATATGTGAACCTTCGCCTCGGACCTCGTTTGCACGATAGCCTCGACCTAGACCCGTCGGATTTGACCCATACCTGGTGTCTGGCCCACCGCTTGGAGTTGGCCTGTACAGATGCGAGTAAGGGAGTCACTAACCTGAGATCAGAATTACACCCATACATGCCTTCGCGCCATGGAAAGAGCTTTGAAGAACTCGAAAAGCTGTCAGCCGAGAAGGGAACTCGATTCTATACTCCTGTGGGCTTCGTTTGTACAAGGTGGGCGAGCTCCGAGCATAGGGTGTTCAAAAACTTCTCCGCGAACTATCCATTGTTAGTAATGCTAGACGGGGCAGCACAGATACTCCGCGCCGATTGGATGGTGAAGTTTTTGATAGCCTTAGATATCATGAACCTGGTCGCTATTGCTTCTGGTGGGGCTCAGACTGTAAATTTCCGCCCTTGGCAGACAGCTGCGGCTATCAATACCCTCCGTGATAAGTTGATTATTATCGCCGAAGGTCTTAAACTCCTTAGCAGTGATATCGATTCTGTGGAAAACATGACACAGCTTAATGATAGCTCGTTAGACATATGTGACCTACCTTCCCTAAAGAAGGCCAGGCTCAATCAAGCTCCCGGAGGAGGGAAGTGGGAGGGAGTTCAGCTCAGTGAGGTATCGATAGTTAGGGTGAGAATGGCAGTGGACTTCATGGAAGCCTGGGTTCGACAGCTGATGGGTGGGGTCAGAGAGAGAATATTGAGGACCTTTCCCCAGTGGCTTATAGCTGCGTCTAAGCTGTTCAGTGGACAGGCACTTTTTGGAGACTGTGAGGGCTTGAAAGACTACGATGTAGCTTTGGATGATAACAACTTTCCCGAAGTCGCCGAAGCTGTAGACGATTCATCACTCCTAGAACCGGCGGGCGGCTTTGTTATTTCGCGTGAGGATTACAACCTCGATTTAGAGACCTTGGTTCAACCAAGTTGGTTGCTCAATATGCACTTCTGAAGCATAGACTCCAAAGGAATCATGGGAGTTGGCCACGGTGTACTGATGGAAGAACTGACATGTGTGCCCTGTGGGGAATCATACATTCTTCTCCAGATATGTATACGGGAGTGGAGGAAATCTTGTTTTTCAAAGCGAATCTTGCGCTTAGGACATTTAACGAATCCATAGTCGAGTCGATTTGTAGCTGCCTAAACTCGTTCGACCCTCGCAGGCATTTGGGACACGGGGTGATGGCAGAAGAGGGTCTGTTGATCTGGAACAGACTGGGGTTGGGCCACGAGTCATTGGATGGATTCCTGAGGGACTCTCTCCGTCGTATGCCTGAGAGCTATACAGGATGCCGCCGAAAGCTCGATGCTGATGCTCAACGTCGCCAAAATAAATATCAGGTATCCCAAGTCATCGACAGAGTACTTTCAAACAACCCCAATAGTGAAGTCTCTGCCTCTCAACCAAGTATGAGATCGAAACTGCCAAATGCTGGGAACCAGTGCAGCGATGACGACTCTGACGCGAGTCCCTGAATAGCACTTTTTGCGTTATGTTGTACTCATGCTTTTGATGTTAATTGTTGTTGACACTTTATCTACCTCTTTGCTGCGCTCATTAGTACTCAATCACTTCAACTGAAAATTAATTTTCATTCGAATTTTTTTTGTAAGTAAAATTTTTAAAATTTTACTTACAAAAAAATTTCGAATGTTTATATAAACGTTAATAAAAAATTTTCTGTCCTGGACCATCATGCATGTCCTCCTTCTGAGGAAATTTCTCTACTGCATCACCTGAGGAAGCTCGGCGAATTTTACAACACTATAATAGTGTTGTAAAATATAGCCTATACCTCGATGGGAGATGCGTTCGTTGGGAGCTACAGCGATGGGCTGGATGGCGGAGCTCGGGAATGTTATTCCCCGGGTAACCGATTTGCTGCATATGAATATGTGGTAATGAAGTTCTTATGTTGTTGCCATCGTGTTTGTATGGAGGCTCCTTATCTAATAATGATATGAAGAAGTCCTCTACTTTCAGGGAACGTAAAGCTCAGCTAATGTCGCTTCATCGTTTCTTACCACTCTGTATGGAGCCAGTCATTGTGGTCGGTGATAATATGAATTCTGTTGGTGACCGACATTGGCATTCACTGGAAACTAACCATTGTGCTAATGAACATGAGATGAATATGGTTATGGATTATCAACGGTCTGTGGTTGCGACGTTATGGGTTAATCGATCATCTTGTATATCTTTGGTGGATGCTATGGCTAGGATTTCTAAGAAGGAAGCTGACACTCTGGAATGTGGTCGTCAAGATGGTGTGGTAGTTACTTTGAATCCTTTGTCATGTATGCTAGCTGCCATAAATGATCCTAATGATGAGAATATCTGTGTCATTGATGATGATGTAGAGTCTTGGAGTGATATTGTTGTAGAGCCTTGTGCTTGCCCCAAATTCTGTGATCTGGATGAGGTGAGAAGGGAACAGTTGACGTGTCCAGAGGTTGTGGCTTTAAAAGGACAGTCTGGTGTCATCTCTGACCCTGATGGGACGGTGTATCGTGTAGAACGGTTTAGTCCTGCTGGTACCCGCGTTAAGCAACTGCTACTGCCTAAGTCTTGTCGTAGACATCTTGTTGAGCAAGCTCATGCGGATACTCATGCTAATGGACGGCAGTTGAAGTTCTTCCTCCAGTCTTGGGCGTGGTTTCCCAAGCTTGATAATTTATGTCGTGCTGTGACTCAGGCTTGTCCAACTTGTCAGTTGACAGCGAGTCAAGCTGGTAGGGAGTTTGCACCTCAGGTACTAGAAGACCTACTTCGGATACTCCGACGGCTTGATGAGAGTCGGGGTAGATGTGGTTCACATGGGTGGTGGCGGTAAGCTTTTGACAGTTACATGTTGGTATACTTCATTCTGTGATTTCGATCCTATTCCTGATACGAAGGCGGGTTCTTTCATCCGTGGATTGTGTATAATATTTATGCGATGTGGATGGCCGCGATGTGTATTCTCTGATGGTGAGTTTAATTCTCAAGAAGTTCAGTCATGGAGTAAAGAAGTTGGTATTTCATAGACCATCCATGCTGCGAATCATCCACAGAATAGAGGCTTTTATGAGAGACGGCATCGAATGATCGTTGAGGCTATGAGGAAGTTTACCCTAGCAAGTGGATCGTTGTGGTCTGATGAGCTGATTCTTGCCCAGGTTAAATGGTTGATTAATCATTCTGAGATTGGTGAGAGTGGAATCTGTCCGGCACTGCTCTTATATAGTCGTGTGCTTCCTGTACCTTGTATGAGGGGCGTTGATGATGACATCACGATCGAATAGCCACAGTCTTTATGTGATTTTCTTATTAAGAAAATCACAGTTCTTAAGATTCTTGAGACATACGGTCGGGTTGATAGTCAGCGGCAGAAGTTGTTGACTATGTTTCTGAATGAATGGCTTGATCAACGAGAATGGTCTCATCCCACTATTCGATATGAGTCGAACTTGAAGCCTGGTGTTTTGGTTTATGTCTTCACATAACGTGTGAATGAGCTTTCTCCTACGTTCCGTGGTCTTTTTCCAGTGCTTTTAGTTCGCGGTCGTCATGTTTTGGTTACTACTTCTTCTGGTGTTGAGATGCACTGGCCTGGTAACGTTAAACGCTATAAGACTCTTGAACTAGATGGAACGTCGCCAAGCAGCAGTGGCTTCTGAAGAACGTACTCAACAAGCTTTACGAGAAGAGAATCGAGCCAAGGATGTTTTGCCTGTGCGTTCTTCGAAACGTCTACGTGGTGAGTCTCCTGGTCTGATGGAGACTGTTGAACGAGCTAAGAAGGTTGCTAGATCGTGATGGTTATCTAGGGGGGCTGTAATGTAGTAAACCGCCTCTCTCATTTGCTATGATACATCATTGTGCTCGTCTCAGACGAGTCGTCTGTCTCTGTGGCGTGTGACCTACTAGGTCAATGATACTTAAGCGCCCTTGTGTATTGTCCCTAGCGTAAAGCTAGTCGATATTGAGAAAGTTTTAATGTAATGTATGAATTAGTTACAACTTGTAACTTACAAGCTCAAATTTAATTACCTTCTATGTCACAGTATCCGTCGAGTTCTAAGGGTGGTGATAATCCTGCTGATTCTAGTAAACGGTCTACACAGGCCGGGAACACTACAATTCATCTATGAGCTCAGGCTGTTCGGATTCCGAACTCTGGAATGAACAACTCTACACCCGTCGAACAGTCACGTCCTCGGATCTGTGCGGGATTCAGCGGATTTTGATAATGAGAAGCGAGAATGTCGTAGTCACTCGAAGACACAGAAGATTGTCCTCCATAATTGTCTTGTACTTGTGACGTAGCTGTGTATCTAGCGTCAAGCTAGTATGTTAGTCTGCTACGGTCGAACTTCATAGATCTTCGAGTTGTTATTAATCTTAGGTTCTACGTGGGATCAGACGGTGTTTCGTTAACTCAAAGGATATTGGAAAACCGTCGTACGTTTCCTCCGCCACGAGAAGTCTGATATTTTAGGACCAGTTATGGCTTAGATCGTCCGGGTCTGGGTTTTTCCCCTTTGGACTGACAGATAGGCTGGAGGACCTCGGTCCAAGTCCAAGCCACATCTTTCCAAAGACTGGCAATACCGAATTGTCGAACAAAACATGAAAAGTGAAAAACGTCAAAGAAGACCTCCGGATCGAATGAAATCCCAATGGTATATTGCGGAACATCCATGTAACCTCGCACCATAAGCGCCGTCTGATTTAGTGTAGTTCAAGCTCATCTGCTTTGATAATCGAAGAAGATAGTAATAGAGTCGACGACTCTGAATCATCCACTGAACTGAATGAGATATGAGCGAAAAACTGGAAGATACGAACTGAACGATCCACTGATCACATATCTGGCTCTTTAGAAAGTACTATTTTTTCCAAACGATTCTTTCCAAATGTCATCTTTATTCGTCCATCTCCACCCCACTCTTCGTTCCACGAATTCACCGCCAACCAATATTCTCGACCGGAAGCAACTCTTCACCCAACAATTTTAATTGAATGCCCGGCTTCGAATTCCTTGGTCGTTGGCACGTAAACTCCAGATTTGTAATATCTAAAATCTTCGTACATTTTGAAGGCGCTGCAGACCTGAAATAACAGAATGCTCCAAGCATAACATCGTCCGGTGTATGCATCGTAATCGCATTGTACTTGGCAAGTACTACTTGCAACAACTTGGGTTTGAGTTCGTCTGAACGTGGGCTCGGGCTATTCATCCAAGAAAGATCCTACGCAATCGATACTTGGTACAGCGTCCATCATTCTTGAGATCACATGAATGAGGATGAATCTCTCCTACAATAGGAGCTCTACCAATTGATAGGAATATGCTTAAACTTCACAATTGAAGATTCACAGGAATGGCGAGAAGTTCCCATTCACAAGTCCAGGTAACATGGACTGAGCAGCTTACTGGGCCGTCATCGAATATCTCCTGCTTGATGTTCTGAACATCATTTGGTACCTTTCTCCAGTCTTTCGCTCGATGAACATCTCTGACGTCGAAATGAATATCAGCTCCCCACCTGAGTTCCTCTCACTTCTCTAAGCTCGTCTTGTATGCCTTGTTAGTGCATGTTGTTTGACACGAAGAGAGAGGCTGATGAACCACCTACGGCCAGAAATCTAAATCATACGAGATCCTGCGATTGACTCACATCCTTGCATTTTTGGGTATCCAGTTCCTTTCGTTGGTACGTGGTTGCACTTGTGGAACGGATACGGCCAGCAACCATCAGCCTCACTCAGTTGATCCTGTGGCTTGAAGTCATTACCTTCAAGGGTTAGGATTGTCGTTCATGGATCAGTTGATCTGTAGTAGAGATTCCTACCAGTCACGACACCATGATCTTTGAAAAAGCTCATGGCTTCAGCAAAGCTCCCACCATTGCAGCCCTTCCCAACGAAAATGAGGTATGTCTCAATTTTCACTCACATTGGGAAAAGAAACAAGCGATGCCAATTAGCCATTATCCGTGGTTGGAATTGACTGGAGACATCCATGTTCGGGATTGCTGCAAGAAGTGACGTAACCAGCGGAAAGAATCTCCCGGATTTTGCCACTGGACTTGATACATAGGCGATCATTTAACACTTCAGTGGCCCACTGATTCCCAGTGATTCACTAGAATACCTTCACAGAGTTACTATTATCGACCATGTAGGGGTTGCATGAGAAGGATATTGAGGAACGTGCAAACTTTTATCTACCAATCACCGAGACATCTACTTGTAGCAGCTACAAGTTGTAGCCTACAACAGCTGAGCACCACTGAGGTGCCTACCGTACTGCGAGTGCGTACATGGTCGTTAGACTCCAGTGATGGGAGAAACTACTTCGATTCTCGGAGAATTGCATTCGGAGAATCATTTTCCACGCTCGTCCTCTTTCGACCGCTTCTGCTGCAATTCTTTCGCCGCGTAGCTCTCATATTTCTTCACCAATAGAACAGGTGACCAGAACGACGTTGGCACTGATGATGTTGGCCTTATTCATGATAATGTTTCGGTAGTCTATCTTTGGGAATCTATCATCTTGCATGTTTCTGTTATTGCTGCCGTCGTTGTTACACGACTTTTGCAGAACGGCATAAGCAAATAAGCATCTACACTGTAGATTCTACAGCAATGGGTGTGGCCGGAACCGTTCGGCTGGTCCAATCATTCTGGTTGGAATTGCAATAACTAGCACCACGCCATCGACTTTTTGGTGTTGACATAGTAAATTTCGATAAATCTAACCCGCCGTGGCACAGCGGCATCGTTGATTCGAGATCACAGTCAATGATTGACGATCACGCGTATCGAACCTTGCAAAGAATGACATCACCGCGAACTTCATATTCGCAAAGGAGCCTTCTCAAGACACTCTTCAAAAACAAGAATAAATACGCGAAAAACTATGATTTTTCATTCTAGCTGATGAACTGTGATTTTTGTCGCTCCGAGCGACTCGCTCGGAACATGCAAGTTTCGATTCCCGGTTCCTCCATTTTTCTGTCTTCTTTTACTTGTTTTATTGTTGTCGGCGGAATTATTTATTGCCGCGAAAAACGAAAACTTTTGCTGAGGTCAGGTCAATCCCGCAGGGTTTTATCGATGATGAAACCGCAACGGCCGGGGACAGTACTTGTGTGCTGTTGATCTCAGCTAGCCTCCTAGCCAGAGGGTGCAAGTGTTTCACGATACCGCTCTGTGAGTTTGAGTTTGTCTAGTCGGATATGGTTTGTTCATCGACGAAGGGAGTGCGGTTCTGCGACCCGCGTGAACCTTGGCCACCTCTCGTCTGTTAGTTTACCGTCTCTCAACTCGGAATCCCACCCAACCCACGAACCGAGACTACGGGTGAGCAGAAGTCCATACCCATCATACGGACTATGGCTTCCGCTGGGCTATCCGCTACGCGTCTAGGGTTGTGTACCTGCTGTGCGCAGCCAAACGCGAGATCTGTAGGCTTGAATATTCACGAGGCAGCGGGGAGCGTTCCCGCGAGTTCCGAGCTATCGTGATCGCCTTCAGATTAGTCGCGGACAGTGCCCGACTCCCAGTCCCCGTAGTTAGAGGTTTCATCCACAAGAAATAATTCGCCAGCGCGCGTTTAGGAAACCCTGCATAGTAGCACTTTTAGCGGCAACTTTTATATATTTCAGCTAATTGGCACTTTATTGCTATTTGCTCCTTTGCTATTTGCTCCTTTGCTATTTGCTCCTTTGCTATTTTATAAGTGAGCCGTCAGTGACAGTGAATCACTGTCAGTGATGCGTGCGCATGTCACTGTCAGTGACACTGTTGTGAACGAATCTATTCGAGGTCATGATCGGGTCGTCGATTGATACTATAGGGAGTCGAAGCTAGTAGCTCTGGCAACACAATCCCAAAGGTGAATACGAATATGCAATAATACTTAGTTCCGGTCGACAAGGTTGGAAGGAGTGCCAACGGCAATCCACAATAGAATCCCACGGAAGACTCTCAATGTAATCGATCGTTTCACGCATTGACACGTTAGCGTGTCTCTACTTTCCGGGCTCCGTTCAACGGAGTCGATTTACATATAGCGAACCAGCGATATAACACAGCTAATAAACTAGTCAACAGGAGGGCGCATATCCTCCTGCCACACCCTCGTTCTGCCACTTGACGCGGGGCCACGTGTATGTTACCCTACACGAAGCTTGTGGAGTGTAGAGTAAGTTAATCTGAGCTATGTTCTAGTATATCACGCGCTGCATATGTATGTATTTCATCTTCGGTGTTGTTGTTCAACACCGAAGAGTGTGAACAACAACCAACAGTTGTTATTGTTGTTGCTACCGATCCTAGTTGCAATTGTGATGATCACTGATATGAGAGTTTGACCGGGCTCCGCCTCATGAACACGACTCATAGAAGATGCCATTAAGTCTCAAGGTCAATAACTAACTACTAAGACATAAATCTGATGGGATGGGCCTACTACGACTCAGACTTGGGTTGTACGAATAAGAGACTGGCCATTGCTCGGCCCGAGCCAAAACACGCGTGCACATGATTGGACGCAAGCACACTGTGGCGCACACAACCTGTGCGTGAGGCCCACTATCGGCCATCCATCAAACCACATCTGACACTTTACTTCATCATCCACCAGTTGCTGGTGGGCGTGCTGACTGAGTCTGTTCATGCCGTGGCGTCCACTCCGGTCCGCCTGGCGAATACAGTGGTTCCAAGCGTACCTCTCCTGGAACGAGCCAGGGTGGATGCAACTCCCTGTCGAGAACAACGGCATGACCTTGATAAACGACTACGGTTTCTGGTTAACAGACCCATTCTGCGTCTTCAAGTTTGGCATGCTGATTCTGGCAGGGGATTCGCGAGTTTATCACGAAGAGTACTCCTGTAGTACCGGACCTGTACTATACAGTGCCTCTACGATACTTTTCCGTTGCGCTGGAGCCCCATCTTTCGTGGTGATAATCTGCTACGTTCATTAAAGCTGGTCAAATATAGAAGTCCTGACCATGACTGGGGTGCCGCTCCGGCTTTGGCGGCGAAATATACGGCTGACTCAGACTAGGAGTTTCAATGGTAAGATAGTCTCATCATTGGAACTTCTAGTCTAAGACTCAGACTCTGAGTCAGTGACGAGTACTATTCATCCTGGACGATTCGTCCAACAATGCCCAAGATAATGGTGCTGCACCAGTCTGCACCAACGGTGCAGACCCTGCACCACTATCTTCTTGCACTGCAGAGGATAGAATTGAGTTATACAATGTGTAGCTAGACCACATTCATTAAGCTCGTCAGTTTTCTGCTTCGCTATCCGAGATAACTTATCTACTAGTATTGATGTGCTCGAGAATAATTGCAGGGGTCTAATGAGTTTACACATAAGGCTGAGTCGCAATACCAAGCTGATGGGCATCAAGCAGCCTCTCATCTGCTCGCAGGCTTTATGTCTGTTGGAGAGAAGGGGTTCACCTGGATCGCAACATTCACCTTCTTGAGCCCAAAGATTTCCTTGTGTTACACCAGTTACAGAACAATGATGCTCCCAGCTGATCTACGATTTCATCAGATGGCGTGGCGTCGTGTGAGCGAGGGGGATCGCCAGACCCTTGAGCAGGCTCGTTGGGCTTCTTAGAAACACGAGTCGAAGGCATAGAGACGAAGGGGTAGTGACGGATGTTTGATGATCACTTCGAACGAATGAGGACACGCATGCGCAAAGGCACGCAAGTACAAACTACGTCACGCGGGCGTGGCGCGGTCGATACACCCAAACCGCACAAACCGTCTAATAATGGAGAGAGTATGACTAATGACGAGTAAGTAAAAAGAGACTGAAAAACGAGGAAATCCATGGAAGGGATAGAGTGCTCACGTGATTGGGTCCGTCAATTGATACCTTACGTAGTCGAAGCTAGTGCTTCTGGCAACACGATCCCGAAGGTAGGCACTGACATCATATGGTATTTTAACTGCGGCCGATTGGTAGCGGAAATGCGGACTGTAATCCTCGAAAAAATCCATAAATGACTCTACTACATTGTAAAGGACCACGAAAGTCTGCTCTTACAGATCCATCCTTGCGTACGCATGCGTACACACATAAGCTACGCTCAAGCTATCAACGCATGTTACTTCTTCATCTCTCAACTTCGCAAAGTCAGGGTCACACAACTAACCATCAAAGGTAGGTAATATGACCCAACAGGGTCGATTTACACATAACCAAGTCTAGGAGCTATAACAACTAAGAGGCCTTACTGAACAGGGTAAAACGGTTGGAGTGAGAAAACTCCTACCACTGTAGTAATACCATATAATCAACATCTCGTGTTATAACATACCGGCAACGGCTACATCTCCTCTCGGTCAGGAACGGTCATCCAATCCCGATTCAACACGTATGCATGCCGTCATTTTGTGACAAAACCCTCCTTCGTATCGTATGCGTTGCCCTACACAACCCATAACAATCTCTACTAGCCCCACGCTGCTAGCAACATCTGGGCGACAGTCGACGAACCCCTCATGACTCAGGAGTGTAGTTGTACACTCAGTGTTACCTACCGCAATAGCACAATCTTACACTGATGCGTCTAGAGTGTGCAATACACACGTGTGAGAGACTATTGAGAACCCAAGAACTATGAGGAGAGAACAAAGCTAAACACTCAAGTATTCCAGTGTATTGTAGTCGTCGCCTGTCATCAAGTACGATGCAAGGCCAGCTTGGACATTATAGCCGCTACAAGGGGAAGGAATAGGAGTAAAGTACTACTCCACAGAGAAGACCGAGGCACGGGCGTGCCTAGGCTGAAGGCAGTGTCTTGAGAGTAGGGCTTGCCAGCCATCCCCGCTACAATCTCCTTCTTGAACAACTCCCTGGTTTCCGCTTGTATCTGACGTGGCACGTCTCTCCACAGAATAGTGAAGTATGGAAACAGCAAGTAACCAAACGGGCGAATACCGGAACTCGGACTATTACCTCGGTCACGTCCTTGGTAGCGTCCACCTTGACAGGGTCGCCAAACCTGACAGTCACCTTAGCACCAGGAATAGGGAAGAGGCTTCCCGGGGGCCACGCGGCGTTGGCACCGAAGAGTGTCTGAAAGGAATAAGGAGTCCACACTAAAAGAAGGGGAGAGCATACAGCTGGGAGGAAGGTCTTGCTTTTTATCTGCCTGACCATATGGAACGGTCCCTTCTTGAACGGCTTCAGCTGATCTGGTCCCCAAGAAGGTGCTGAGATGACGAGCTATCAAGTCTTTCGAGATGAGCATACAACTATTACTCCTCCTTCTGGTGCCTTCGGGCGACACTCCAACGACATAACCGCTGTCGATATGGGAGACTGCCGAGTCGAGCTGGCTGATCGCCTGACTGTGCTTCGCCCCTGAGTGGATGAGAATCCCGACAGAGTAGCGATAGAAACGATACTCACTATCAATAGCCACGACTCCAGTCAGTCGGAATAGAGTGCCGAGAATGGGTATTTTGAACAAGCTTTTCTTGGCAACAACACCGAGAGGAAGCTGCTCCTGAGAAAAGGGGGAAGATGTAAGTGGTCGATGGTGGTGGAGTTGCGGATGACCTTTGAGAGTATATCAAAGCATGCACTGATAGCGAAACCATCGAGGTTGCTGCCGTGGGTGAAGAGCATGAGCACACCGTTTTCATCCATAGCAGGGAGCTTGGACAAGGCCTGAAAGACTGCGAGTTGACATGCTTGTGGAAACAGCAACTACCTCACGGTTCTGAACAGACAGTTGGACGCCGCTAGCGGCCATGAACATGCGGCCTACACCGACGCAGCAGTAGGTACGGACTTGCTTCTTGAGATGACTCTTCTCGGGCAGGAAGTAAACCTGATGGATAATTCACGACGAGCCGAAAATGGTACTGATTGGGCATGTTTGGCATATTTCATGGCCAACCTAGTATCTTTCCGTTTGACAAGATACCCCACCCTCCCTGGTACTACCAAAGCCAACAGCGCGAGAAAACATGGTGCCGAGGTGATGAGGAGCACCAACAAGACCACAGCCCGCACTAACTGCTCGACCTTCTGGTACAGTGTAATGTGCAAGATTTTATTAGTCGTGCGGCCACCACTAGGTTCGTGGCATCCTTCCTCAGAGCTGCCTTCATCCGAAGACGACCCCTTACGCTTACTGCTGGCTGATGTTGCCATATTACAATTCAAATGGTACTGATGGAAGGACAATAGCGTCGTTCTAGTCATCAGATGGTCCCTGGTTCGATCCCGGATTGCGGTTAATACTGCGACATAATCCCTCGCCCGCCAGTACAATAACGTAACGTAATGGCAAGTACCTGTTGTCAGCGCTTCCTATTTAGGCGCAATACTATTGGTGCAATCATCAGACGCCTTGCAGTATCCGTCATCTTCTCGCACCATACAGCTCCGTATTAGTGAATACAGTCCCTTCCGAACATTATTGAAATGGACTCTCTCTGTTGCCCTTGCTTTGTGCATAATCCATTCTAATACGATAAAGCAGCTAACCTGTAACCCGCACCATCCATAAAACTCATCAAAACTCACCTCGTGTTGTGTATTTCTCTTGAAAGTTGATCGCGCGCCATAGCGGAGCGAAACAATTAATATCACACAAGTTTCTAGCGCAGGTTACTCGTCGGCCTAGCATCATTCAATTCCCTCGTAGATTTAAGCTGACCCAACAGATCGCGTCCTCAGATGACCGCATCGTCGCAGTACTCGAAACCGTCTTCTCGGCTAGCCGGAGTACCCAGCAAATTAATGAGGCCCTACCCGGTGTTTTCTAATCGCTACTTCAACCAACTGTTAATATGGCAATTCCAAATCGTGTGGAAGATTATAACAACCATATTGACGATTCTTAGTGCAGTAATATACTTCTTCGACTCGTCAGCGCGGCATTTTTCGGCTTTGTTCAGATTTTTACTTCACGAGTTCGACAAGAGCCTGTGCCAGCGAAAGAGAGCTTGCGAGGAGGATGTAAAATTAAGGCCAAATTGTAAGTGTCAGCGCTCTGCTTTCATAGTGTATCTTTTCTGTCTTGGGGATTCTCGACAATAATTTTGGTTGAGAATTGCGAGGCACGATGTGACAGCTCGAATTATGCCGATATTTCGTGGAACTTTGGATGTGGGATATACGTGCATATGTTTCTGGGAGGAAAATGGTTTTGCTTGAAAATGATTTCGAAAGGTTTTGAAATTTCCAGATAATCAGTTACGAACGATGTAGCTTGGGGAATTTGATTGACAGGAACGACTCATTACTTTTTGAGTATTCTGTATGGTGAAGAGAGATTCACAAGATTCATATCATGACCCGCCGCTTCAATTCATCGCGCTTGCTCCATCGCTGGGCTTTCACATTGGGCTTCAAATTGCTCACGTGTGAAGTCGATAGCGATGCTGGGCATAGAGCTTTTGCGCTCGTATCGATAGATCGTATTGTTATGAGCTACAATCTAATCACCTAGCTGAGGGTGGCATAGACTCGATGCACTTCGACCGGTGGTATATCTCATCCTGCTGAAGCCGCGTGGTTAGCGTTCGTTGTTAGCGTTCGTAGTTATGTTTACGGATTGCGCAACGCGCGATGCGCAACACTACTACTGGTATCACTGATGTGATCGCTCTTACTATTTAAGGGTTGAAGATGGGAAGAGTCGATGCGAGTCGCGTCATGCGAGGTTGATAGAAGATTTACGGCTGAGTATAGTTCACGTCAATACTTTCCAGCTTGGAAGATTTTGACGTGATTTATACTAACAAGCTCCACGTCAAATGCATGATCGGCCACTGCTCCAAGGAGGATAGAAGAGAAAGTTTGTCTGACATGCGACTCGTGTGGGGTGAGCACTGGTGCCACCTGGTCGCAGGCGCCTTGCTTTCAGAACAAAGCATTTGATCACCAGGTATTGTATTGTCGCATCGTTTTGTGGGTGCACCCAATTTGGGAGTGTCGCTGTGGTGACGGGCTTGGTCACTGGGTGCAGTGGACAATATACTCGCTTTGTACCGAAAGCCGCACAGATATACCAGTGGCTGGTAGACGGCAGAATCGTTGCGTCTTATGTCAGTGGTACACACTGACAACAAACTGCACAACAACAGTCGCCCAAAATGATTTTGGCAAAATGTATCCTTTGCACACACGGACAATCTCATTGTGTCCGTACTGCTGGCTTTTACTTGGCCAACTGAGCAGCACCATTGGCAAGCTGGTGGTCCACTAGACAGTTCTAAACTCAATGGGATGATTGATTCGTTACATATGAGTGTACTGTAGAGAACCTACCGATGCTTGTTTCGATCGCCAGCGTCTATGTGTTCACAACACAGTGTTTTGCCTTGAAGAAATTCTTTAATATCGTAATGTATCTCCATTTCTCTCGTGAATATGTTTCATGAGATAGACGAGCTCGCATTCGGGGTTTTAATCGAGAATGCCGCTGATTTGTGAACTCGTGCTCTATCAGGTGCCATGACTTCTCCAAAGATGAGCAACCTATGCCCGAGACTGCATTTGCTGTTACCCCTCCCAACAAGATTGATGTCTCCCACGAGGGATGCAGTCCGTTGAGACTAATGCAGAGTGCTAAGGTAGTATTTAGTGACACTCTTGTTCATCATGATAGTCGAATTCCATCATTGAGAAATATGCGATCGACGCTGGCATGCCATAGGATTCATCATCTGAATGATCGTCCGGAGCCGGTAGTTTTCTAGGTTTCTATTGGCCTATTATTGGCTAGCGGTATACGGCGTATCCCAGGGATAGGCCTGGGGATAGCCTCAGGAAAGGATACCAACGCTCTGTTAGAAGTGACAGTGTCTCGTAATGCTATGGAGTCTGTCAAGGTTATGCTGACCAAGCCAGTGGCGCTTTATGATATAAAGTAGGTCCTCTTGAATCCTGTAGCTCTATCACATGCCCATCATTCAGACGAGCTTTGCGCAATTACAACGATATTGCCGCAAGACCTCAGCGGAGATCCTTTCGTGGTCGCGTGCTGAGTTTAGCTACCTGGGGCTTCGAAATCATGGAGCGCCTCGGTATTGTGATTTGTCTATCTTCAGCGCGGTCTCTCCCTTCTTTGAGTACTCACGGTGCACTTCGACTCAGCTTTAGCGGCTTCGTGTCGTTTGCTGGCGGTCTCATAAGATTACCCTTCCGCAACATTGTTGTACCAGAGGAGATCATACCGTTGCCGCTGGCTCGACTCGATCTTGTGGGCTACTTCGCGACGGCCGCGGGTAATCATATGTGTGTTCAAAGCAATCACAGTAAGGTCAAAATGGAAGAGGAGCCAGATGAGTTTGTGCGCATGTTGTCCGATCTCGTGGTGGAGGCGAAGTTTTCGGCGGTCTCGAGATTTCTGGTTCCTGAAGTGGAGATTGCGACGATTATGGGAGATCTTTCCGTGATAACGACGAAAATCTTCCAGAAGGCTGGCGAGTCGAAAGTGCTGTACATGCGTGCTGCAGCGACGTATCATTCCGATTGTGGAGATGGCGGAATGAGTATCTCCTTGGACGAACTGAAGTTGAGGGAAGATTCAGCGTCGATTCTGAAAGCTCGCTGGACTGGCAGCAAGGTTGATCGTCTTAGAAAAGATGCTCCTTTGATGGGAAAACTCTCGGTGGAAATGTCCGGTGTGTCGATGCTTTCTCAGTCAGCAGAAATGGTGGTAGAGTATTGTAATCCTGTTGTTAAAGGTTGCGTACACTGTCCAATAGAGATATCCAATCTGGCGATTTCCGGAACGACTGAGCTCAGGGTCGAAGCTTCATCGATCGCTAAGTTATTGGATGATATCACGGAGAATGTCAAGATCGAGCCGGACGTTCATCTGGAATACAGCTCTACTCTTTCCCTGTCTAAGGGCCTTATTGACGACGGTCTGGCGAAGGTGTATGGGAGTGCTAGAAACTTTGAAATATGCGGCCGAATCGAAGCCGATGAGAAGACCCTTGAGACTTCGGAGTGGGTAGTGATATCTGCTGTTGCGAGAACGGATAACGCCTTCCCCTTTGCGGTGTCGACTGTGGTGCCTCTGCCGGTTTTCCCGGAGCTGAACATGTCGAGTAGCGATAAGGTTACCATTGCTGGTTCGGCTAGGCTGACGGCGAGCGGAGCTTTCAGAGTCTCTAAGAAGGGCGTTACTTGTGACGACTCTGTTGTTGATGTGGAGGTATCCAATCCTGTTCGAGCGAAGTTTTTGAGGAGGGAAGTGGTGTTGCCGTCGAGAACTCATCTTAAGGCGCTTATAAGGATGCTGCATGTGGGTTATGACGGGTTGGCTCAAACGGATATGGTGCTTGTCTTGGACGAGACTTATCTCCACTTCTCGGGGTGTGATGGTGACGGGACTGCGGCACTGCGGTTGAGGCCAGTCACTCTACCAATCAGCATCAGGTAGGAACTGTGTGGGGGAAATATGTACATTGTCAACTACATGTGTTGCTGACAATATGATGATGTTGTGGAAATTTTGGGAGGTTCTTGTTGGTTTCTTTGCACTTCTACCCAAGTTCGAATGTATACTTGTATGATTAGTGAGAAAACTCCTGAGCTTAGCTGAGGAAAGCGAAAAAATATTTTTCAAAAAATAATATAGTTATTTAAAGTTACGTCTGCCAACCTGATCTGTATCTTGTCTTCTGATATTTGTGGTTGCTTGGAATAATTTTTTCCTTGCAGTCCTGTTGGCGGTCTCGACTGCGGCGAGACCATCATTGGCGCGCTACTGAGGCCTGACATAAGAGGCGCTGTATTTTTGAATACCATGGAGAAAGTTCGAGCAGGACAGGAAGATGAGTTCTTGAGAGGCCTTCGTGATGACCTGGACGGTGTAAGTCGGATAGGATCGTATGAGTGTGAAGCGGAGTAATTGTAGGTTATCAAAGTATTGGTGCCTTCACTACACTCCTTTATATGGCGAATCGTTGACGAAGTTAAACGTGCTAAGCGTGTGTTGGAGGAGGAAAAGGTAGGAGGAATTCTGGGAGTGACCATTTTCTTCATACTTGAGATGATCGTGCGTATAGCGTCTGTTCGTAACGCACATTGTGAGAGGGGGCACTTCACTAGGGTGTTGTTGCCATAGGAGGGTTGGGCCAGTTTTGACACTAGAAGATGCAGTTGTCTATTGCGGCTATTGAAAATATTCAGCGTACATGCCAGTTCTCTTCTCCAGGAAGTCACGTCTCATTTTTCGAAACATTGAGAAAGTCCATGTTCCTGAACTACCATCTAGTGTGAACTGCAGAGAATAAGAAATGCCTCTTTGGTGACACGCTGTAGATTGGTCGCGCCTTCATGATATACCAGTTTGGAATCTTCAATATCTATTGCTACTAGAAGGTTTGCCTTTTTTTGCATTATTTTGTCGTAGGTCACAGCTCCTCTGGATGTTATACCCAACAGCAAGTTGGGTCGGCTGGTCAGCCTTATACTATTCAAAGACGACTCGAGAACACAGAGAATCAGCAGTATCGTCCAACAGGTAATTTTGTGAGAATTTTGTGGCGCGCGGTCATGATGTGGTGCTTGATGAGGTAACGGAGGGTGACGGCTTGGACAAGACAGCGTGTAGGGAGTTGATCGAGGAGTGGAAGAAAATGTTTTTACCATTGAAGATAACGGCCGGGTGTGAGGCGGAGGAGGGCAGTAGTAATAGTGAAGATTCGACCGATGGTGGAGAGATGGAGGCGAATCCTCTGTGGCAACGATATGAACTGGACCCGACCGAGTTCATCTTGTTCGTGTTGGGAAAGGTAACTGAGGGCGGTGTGGTTGTGGGGGATGGGAAAATTATGGTTAGGGTAGTATTTAGGAGATTAACCATCGTGACGATGCAGCATTTAGAGTACATGTATTTGTGCATGTAGGTGTGGTTGCATTCACCGCACTGGGTGAGTGTGGCTTAAGTACGTTTCGTGTGGGGCTACTGTATATGTGGTATAGGGTATTTTCAATAATGGCAGAGTAGGGTAGAACTCCATGATGAACGGGATGATAATATGAATGACTTGCATTGATCTTCGGTGGTTGAGAAATTTACTCTTGTTTTCGTCTTTAGTCTTTCATTTTTGCGGTTTTTGTATCAGATTTTGGCGCCGACTGAGCCCATAGAGGCTCCTGGATTAAAGCCTCCGAAGTGGCAAGATCCTGTCTCTACTGATCCCTCTATCCGAGTTGAAGGGCTGGATAGGCTGCCGAGTGCTAGCGACCTCTACAAGTGAGGTACGTCAGTCGTGGCAGCGATAATATGTTTTGTATTCTTCAGTGGGGACCGTCGAGCTGCTGACGTTGCGACGTATCTTCGTACGGCGCAGGTGGCTTGGCTGTTGGAGCACGCGGATGAGTTTGGTTACTCACATGAGGAGAAGAGGAAACTAGAGTGAGTAGTGGTTGAGAGAGAGATCTTCATTTGAGTGAGAGTTGGGTATTCGCGCAGTATGAAGAATTTAAGATACGCTTTATGGTATCATTTATTTCTTGAATTTTACGGGGTGCTTCTCAATACCTCGTCCGTTTTGAAATCTTCGCTGTGCGGAGGAATCTTGTTGATTCGTTGGCTTGGGGGTGACGTTTCTTACTTGTGATGGAGTTCCCAGTTGCTGAAGGACTTGCTGTCAGATACGTTTTATCACTTAAACACTTTGCATTTAGTATTTTTGAGAACTACGGGGGCCTGGCCTTCGTCCCGCAGTCTCGTGTGGTTGGTCTGTTCCTAGCCGACGTGGCTCGGGTTGAGCAGGAGTTGGCTAAGCGACAGGGGTTTGATTCGATGAAGGCCGCTTTGGAGTGGCAGCAGTTGAGGGAGGAGGCGGCCTCGGAAAGGGAGAGGTCTACGAGTGCAGATATAGGTCGGTGAGGTTGTTGTAAATTTTGGTATTGATTTTTTCCTCGTGAGAAGTGATTCTGCATTGGAAACGCAACTAGTACTACTACCCTCGTGCTATGTTAGAGTAGTGATGAGTGGAAACATAGATGTCTTGCTCGATGACATGTAAAATTGGTCGAGTCGGAGTCACTGTGAAGTACTATTCATGAGATGTGGAAAGACTATGAGATGGCAAATTTGAATTGGTTTAGTAGAAGAATGAATTCGCGGGGCGAGCGCTTTTTACAATAATCAGGTAGAAGTAGTAGTGGTGATACGTTGGAGTTGAGGTCGGCAAGGTCGGGCAGTGTATCGGATGGGTACAGCACTTGCAGTAGTGGGGAGGGGGAGGACTCGACGATGGAGGAAGAACCACAGTTTACTGAGGGAGGGTTTATACCCCAGGGCTTCCTGCATCGAATGACGCTACAGATGAAACCGGTGGATCACGAGGTAGCAACCGGAAGGTCCCCGGATCGATTCCTGGGAGAGGCATTTTCCTTCTCAGGCGCTCTTACGCGGTAGTTTACGTAGTAGTGCCCAGTCCGTCCCTGTACCATCCAAGGGGGCTTCCTTATCGAAGTCGACCTTGCCTGATGTGGCCGCTTGCCGATGGTTGGGCATGCCGTTTACGCTGCTAGGTGAGCGGTTCGGAAGAGATGAAATCTTCTAGGGTTTGATAACAATAAGAAAAATGTTGTTCCCAAAGTGACATTTACATGGGAAGCTGATTGAAAAATGTGGAAAAATCTAAACGGGCCCTTCCCTCGAGAGCATTATAGGTTTCTGGATGGTTGTTTGCTAAAGATGATGATAGTTGTTGGTCAGGACCTGGCGATGTGGCTTCGATGTTGGCCTCTTGCTTGGCAGCTCCGTGGGCAGGCGCGGTAGTGCAGAGTAATACGAGGATGTTACTGGAAGTGCTGTTACAAAAGCAACAACCTAGGGAGTAGGGTTTTGGGCATGTTTTGCATCTTAGGAAGAGAGTGTATCTTTTGGTAGATATGTTATTGCAGTACTGTGCGAGTCGTCACAGAATGGTTCGGCTCGGGCTCTGACGAACATTCTAATGAGGCTGTTGGAAATACCCCAGGACAGGACTATCCAGCGCATGGATGTAGCTGCACTGTTGGAGGAGAAACTAGGGTGAGGCGGACGGGTACGGGGAGGAGTGTCCAGAGGCGTCTCGACAGATATAGTGTGAAGTAAATAGTTATGCATATCTAGATCTTTGAGATGGCTTTTATCAATTCGAGAGTAATACGACTATAGCCTACGAAACGCTTCTAAAATGTTGGTGTCAATCGATTTACATTTTTATTATGTTGACATTACTCAAGGTGCTGAAAATATTACTTTGCACAACGGTAGTTCAAACATGTTTCTATGTAGACTCGTGATGTGATGGAACAACAGCTGAGCATTCGACAGCTCTTGCTGCTACTGTGGGGTGCCCTTTTTTCCAATGTTTTGGTTCTGTGATTAGGTACTCTGTCCCTCGAAGAACTGACTATATGGCGGGTGGGAAGAAGCCGCGGGATAGCTACTACCACGCTTGCAACGTTCTGGCGTCGAAAATACTCAAAGAGAATATGGACCAGTACCTCGCGGTGAAGAACAGGCTTACTGTGTGCTATAGGTGAGGTCCTCTGGGGAGGATGTAGCCGTGTTGGGGGAATATATGTTCGCTCTCCTTAGTGCCTTCATTGATTGTAGAAGTTTACGTACCAATTTGGGTAGAAGTGTAGAGAAACCAATGAGAATTTCCTCGGAATTTCCACGAACTGAAGAAGAGATTAACATATTTTCATCCTCCGGGATACACTTGGGCGCACAGGTGAGTTGTTATTCAGAGTGCAAGCAACGGCACCTTTCACAGAGGAGACGAGAGGGCTGGAGGAAGCGGCGATCGCTGCGATAGCAGTGACCAGGAGACCTGAAGCGACGAGAGACGATTTTGGTGAGTTGAGTTTTATTAAGAATTGTTGATTATGTGTGGTTGCAGAGGAGGCTTTCGAGGCGTGCCGGATGGCGATCGGATCGGACCGGCGAATAGTGGATCGAGATTGGTGCAAGGAGTTTATGCTGAGGAGCTATGAAACCTTTATGGTGATGATGTCTTGTTGTGGGCTTAGCGGAGCGAAGCGATTATTGTTTGTGTGTTTTAGGTATTGTCGATTTACGATGAGGTGGTGGGAGATGTGGAGCAGTCGAGAGGCTGGCTGATGGTGTTGGCGGGCACGGAGGAGCTTCCTGAGGATCCGGTGGCTCTAGTGGAAGTCATTGTGAAGTAGTAGACTTAGAGTATCTTTAGGTTGACTTGGCAAGATACGGAATAGGTCCGTTCTGTGATCGGGATATATTTAACTTGATCAGATCGGTGTATCGTTATGAAGAGGACAGGGAACGTATCTTGAATGATCCGTTGACGAAGTTGATGTTGAGGAATCCTAAGGGTGAGCAAGATTAGCAAGATTTACGCATCGGACCGAATGTTCAGGTCATGTCAAGCTGGCGTTGGTCTCTGCTATGGGGGTTATCTCCGAGGGGGCTGAGGGAACTGAACTTGCCGAGACTTTCCATCGCATGCATGAGAAAAGAGGCTTGCAGGTCGTCAGGTAGCGGGGGGCGGGGGGAATTCTGATTAAAAAAAGGGAAAATCGAACTGAGACTGGAGTTTCACCTGTGATGTGAGAAAACACTAGCGAAATGCAAGTTTCACAAAGTGTGGTCGGTCGCGGGGAATATAAATTTAAAACATAAAAGGAATATTATGTTGATAGTATCCTATATTTTTAGATATAAATTACTTATTATTTCTATATTATAGTTTAAACTTAGTACCATTACTATTTATTTATTAAATCAACCGTTAACATAAATACATCAACGTATGAAACTATATTGTTCCTTGTTATCATTAGAGCCGATACGGGAACAGGTCGATCACTAGAGTACAACGCTAGGAGGGTCATAGAGGCGATCAGGAAAATCGATGGTGACACGGAGTGGGGATGGCTGGGCTATTCACAGGGATGTGCCAATGCGTTGCGAGCTGAGACCACCATACAGACTGGTAAGGAAAAGTTGGAGTTTTCCGACAACTTGGTGATTAATTGTGAAGTGCTAGAGTTGATATTTTCGACAGCTGATGCAGGAGTTTACCTCTAATGTAAATAATGAGGTTGGAGGTGGAGGTTATCTCTCCCTTTTGGTACTGAAAATTTGTCATCCTCATGTAGAGTTTCGTAGTAGCCGCGACCGAGGGTCGAACTCGGGATCTCTCAGGTACTCCTGAGGAATACGAGCTGATCCAGGATAGACTGATCGGGCGTATGTTGATATTCAGCGCATTCAATGGTTCGGTGCATGGCCAACTTGGTGACGATAAGGTGCAAGCTGTCATCATGGACCTTGAATACTTTATGAAGCTATTACAGGTAGGAAAGATACTTGTTGGAGAATCTTCGCTGTGCGCATGTACTTGTTGTGTTTAGGCCCATTTTTCGTCGCAGTTGGCGGGCTCGGCGTTGAATCTGTTGACATCTGCTTTGGCGTCTCGTTTGGTAACGGATTTGCTCGTTGGTAGGTAGCCATCATCATTCACGATATAGGGCGCCCTAAATGAAATGGGGTATTGTCTGTAACTTTAGAATTCAACGAATATCCTCACTAGGAAGATCTTGGCGAGTGGTTTTCAATGGTATTTTTGAAATCTGCAAGTTACAGACAATACCACATTTTATTTGGGGTATGCTGTAGTTGTTGAAATATATGGATGTTGACCATAGACGAATATTCATGGTTTGATGATAGTATATAAAACATACTATCATTGATCTACTATCAGCAAAGCACTTATAGTTTTATACTAATATCGACTTGAAATTCATGTCCTTCGTGGTGTAGGTGTTCAGTCGTTGACACACGAAGGGGTGTTTACGTTGTGGAGAGACGGGCAGTTTAAACAGAGTACTCCGACGGTGGCGATGAGAGGGGCGGTGCAGAGCAATGTAAAGATTCATGTTGCGCACAGCGAAGATTTTTGGGGAATGGTATCTTTGTTATGGTAGGTAACGTTGCCGGAGGTATTGGAAATGTTGAGTAATATGCTCACTAAGCAGACGATTAATCATGAGCATCACGACACGCAGGTGGGCGGAGGTCTCGGGTTCGATCCCGGCACATGTCGTTTTTTACAGGTTACGATACACGAATGTGTTTCGCGATCAATCCATGTTCGTAATTCTCATACGGACGTCTTTGCGCGGTCAGGCGTCGATGCGGCTGTGCAGAGGACCCACCATTGGAGCCCTTTACTGAAAGTAAGTTGTCTTATATTTTTATCTCAATCTTCTGTCCGTGGACTTGGAATATTTCCGGAGCTTTCTGAGTAGAGTGATTTTTTAATTCTTGAACTGAATTTTGCAGAATTGAATCGTTTATGAATTTCGCAGTTGTTTTAGTGAATAAGTATTAATGTGGTGGTGAGTGAATTTTGTGACTCGCGACGCAGTTGATGATTTTTAGGAGTCGGCCTTCGTGACCACCGAGCGTGACCGTGAAAGACACGTATACGATACCGCCAAAGACCGACACGTCGAGCCGTGGCTCGAGAACTTGATCCGTTTCGGCCTGGTGCCATTCGCGGCTGAAGAATGAGTTGTTGCGATTTCTGATGAAAATACTGTCATTCGAGTGAGTGAGTTTTGCCAGGATGGAGTTGAGTTCTCACGTGGTTGTCACTTTCGGTGCTGTACTACTTTTCCAATAAAATTTTGCTGAATGCAATTGTAGTGATCGCCCGACTGAGCTTAGCGTAGTAAGTTGTCTAGTTTTTGCAGATGCAACAGATTGGCATATGTCATCACATCATGCAAATTCTTCTCTAAGTTTTCTCCGACCGAGTGGTCATAATCTCATCTTGACAGTATATAAATGCATCGCTCGCCCGAACTCGGTAACAATTCGTGACCGATGATGATTATATATATTAATGTATTTCGAAATGGTCGGGGTTTCAGATTCCCAATGGTCAAATTAGCTAAGTTATAACATATTTTCGTTTTGCACTATTGAAAGTTAACACACTGTAGTTGGTGATGTGCTGATTTATCTGCGATTTGATGGCTTCTTTATTGCTCTCGCTGAACCGAGACTTTTGTGAGGATGTGAGCCTCCTCCCGGGCGTAACAATACGGGTGGGCCGAAGACCGCCCCCGGTGCGTGCTGAGACCTGTCATGATGTAGCAGTGATGTTAAGGTGGTTGATTTTGAGAAGTTATGATAGGTGACGATTGAATCTCCATATGTTGCACGATTTCAATTCGAATTATCATCGAATACCAATGGTGAGTAATTTTGTTTTTCTTGTGTTTGTTATATTTTTCAGAAAGTTGGCGGCTGACGAGCCGAAGCTGGGGAGGCACTTTGGTGTGTCCGAGATTCTCCTGCATGCGAAAAGTCAATCGAGATGAGTCAACAGATCTGTCCCAAGGAGACACAGTTTACATTTCTAGTAGGAGCCGATTTACGGTTTTTCAATCAGAAACTTTTCTCAGCTTCTCCCCAAATTGGCTTTGTCTTTCATACGCCTGAGGCTGCGGTCCCGGAAGCCGTCAAAACTGATGATAGGCTTGAAGATGAACTCGCTGATGACTTGTGCTGCGCAATCTGCCTGGTAGGTGGAACAACTCCGAGGCAGTATTAACATGTATGCTGGTTTCCCTCAGCTGAGCTCACTGGTTCTGTAGAATTTCGTTATAAGTGTACAGAAACCAATAAGAATTTTCTCAAATTTCCTCAGAATTTTCACATGCAGTTGACCGTGTGCATTTTCCCCTCTCCCACACTGGTCTTTGTCGATGTCTATATAGGATACGATGAGCGACCCCGTTACAGTTGAAGGCTGCCAGCATTCCTTCTGTGGGGAGTGTCTCAATGCTTGGCTTCAGAAGAGCGATCGATGCCCTATTTGTTGTTCTCTGGTCACTACAACATCATGTGAGAACCTTGCACTCGCATTTGAGGGTTGCTGTTGATTTTTGATTTCTTTTCAGAATTACCAAGCATGCTCAGAGATCAGAAATAGTCTCATCTGTGCTGCAACAGTCTTATTTCTCTTCGTGAGTTATTGCGTTATGATAGTTGTTTGTGCGGGAGTATCGGCAGGATGCTCTCCAATATTAGAAAGAGTTGATTTGCATGAGAAAAGACATGACGTTGATACTGACACGCACGATCGGAGCGCAAACTGACGATGATGAAATCGGGGGTTGTTCTCTATGTACTTGTGAAAACTGATAAGGGATTTCTGTGACAAATCGCAATGAATTGTTATAATACTGGTATTCATGCACTGCCAATACCCGAGTGCTGTTGCTGGTGGTACCGTTCTCTCGTTCACGAGCTCATACACTGAAGTAGACACAAAAGGAAAACGTCGAGGACTCGGTTTTGAGAGTAGGAAAGGAGAAAATATATATCCTCTTTTAGACGCTAGTATATCTTCGCGAAGGTGGTCATGAACTATCCGAGTTGAATAATAGGGAGTCATCAGATCACGATCACGGAGAAGGGAGTGTCAATGTATGATGTGTGAATCTCATAGGGTGACCGCATGTTTTTAATGCCACGAAAATGAAGGATCTATCACGTTCACGAGGGTGAGATGTTCGAACGCGAAATCGAAAGTCGTTATTTTGCGATAAATGAGGTTTTTGAGAGGAACCGAAAGTTGTTCACGGATTAGGTGTGTTAGTTTCACAACTTCGCACATCGCCATTTGTTTGGTGGTTTTATTCCTGGATTAAATATTAAGTGGTGTAGAAAATTCAGCAATGGAAGGAAGAAATGCTCACATGTTTTCTCATCGAAAAACACCGAAGAATCTAAGGCTCTGATGCTTACATCTAAGCTGTCACTACGAGAAGTCCAATCACTAGACTAACCGAGGCCGTAATAGATATGCTACGAATTGCTCCCCATGGTTCACTGATCTACCCCGACGAGCACAACTTCAGTAGCAGACAAGAACAGAGATGATATCACACGTTAGTCATGTCGATCGAAAGTAATCATCTCGAATCTCTCAATCCGCCGTCTCAAACTGCGAACTGATTCCGCAGCAGCATGCAGCTCTCGATCAATGCTCGCCCCATGCGTCCACAGTAGGGGCTCATTCTCTATATGCAACTCGGCTCGCAATCTTCGTTCCAAGAGGAGCTCCTGGAATGGATATTCAACACTCCTCAACTCCATCAATGAGAAATGCATAATTGTCATGCACTCGAGAGTAATCAGAAATACATCACAAGAGTTCTGAAAACGCGATGATGCACCAGAATTCTTCTAACACGACCTTATCGGTGTGCATGCTCAAGCGAACGCAGGGAAGCAATGAACCATACGATTCCTCATGTTTGGAAGTAGCCTCAACACGCCGAGAGAGTAACAGAATGACCCACGAGAGATCGGCCAGTTTGGCTTTCGATGTGGTCAGCCGAGCCGTCCACCATGTCCTCGAGGAGCACTACCTGACGCAAAAGCCCCGCCGTTTACTCATTGCCAGTGTGAGCTTACAAGGGCTTGGAGTTTCTCTATTCTATGGCGAAGCGTGACAAGAGCTCGTTGTTGTCTATACGATATTGCTCGGGCTCTCTCGATTCTGGTCATAACCTACTACATGTGGCTGAATGCACCAGTGGTTGAATGCTGTGATCACTACGCTCAGTGCGGACTACTCTTAGTTACACTTGGTGCACTTGTAGTATTACTACAGTGTACAGCACTACAGTGTGTAGTACACGGTAACGCTTCTTGTTATGAGAGCGTGTAGGCTAGTTTCTTTCATAGAACTTCTATAGCGTTGAACCAACAATATGGGAGTTCGATAAAATTATGGTGGAATGCTTAGAGCTTCATCGTAGTGAATATCTTACGGACCATTGTGAGTCTTCTATCCTACGAAATACTTACACTGGATGAGCCCGAATCTTTCAACCGCCACAGAGGGACGAAATCGATAGAGTTCGATGAGGTTTCGGACATTTCCAGATGGGCTACTGTGGTGTACTGTAAAGATGCTCGGCTCGTGTGGTAACTTTTCGTGCAAGCTTTTCATACCGCTCGTTCGCCAACACGCCTCGACGAAACTTGACTCAACTCAACCCTCGCAGAGATGAGAAAGGAAATGTTCTGAGTTCATGCGAAACCATCTCACAAGTCATGATCTAGAGAAGAGCATTGAAAAATCACCGCTCTTTTTATGTGGAAGGGAGAAGTCCAATCATAAAAAAAGAGTGCTCATACAACCGTAGAGAATCGGACGGCACCCCTGTTGAGGGTAATTAAAAGAAGCACCTAGGTACATAAATGACTAGCAGCGAGCAGAATAGCAATCTCAGCTAGAGCTCCCCTGCGGACGTATAATCATCCAAAGAGCACCTCTGGTGAACACCTTAATTTTCTTGGACAAAGCATCACAGCATAAAACTGCTACAGATGGTAGCAACAAACACGGAAAGCAACCCGGTAACAATCCGATTTGAACTTCGTCTTTTCATGTTCCATACCAGATTTTCGTCAATTCGCGATTGGGTAGCTACCACTAATGCCCTTCTGAGGGCACCCCGGGAGATCCGCAGGGGCTCTTATTTACCTTTTCTGAATCATCATCCCCGAATCATCGCTACTCCGGTCGATTACGGTGAGACACAGATCTATTTAGGTTCTCAAAGGTATGCCAGCGAGTGGGCATCCAGGTGGGCCCAACTTCCTCCCTAAACCCGATATGCACGGATGGAAAGAAAAGACAGTTTCGTGCTGGGAATGCATTCACACACGAGCAGAGGCGCTTACAATGCTGCTCTAGGACCGATGATTCTCCGGGCAAGGCAGTAAGGACTACTCGTAAGGCGATCGGAACACCTCCCCAAGCCGTACTAGCAGGTGTAAGGGTTCTCAAGAACCTCACAGGTATGCTGTCATCAGCGACACCAATCGCTGCGGCAAAGGGAATCCGGCCGGACCTATGCTGCATCTTGTCAAAGTCAACCTAAGATACCCTTCACTGCGAATAAATGAAGCGTTGAGGAAGTGCAAGTAAGTGCAAGATAGGCAAGATGTCTATCGAAAATTCATATTCCATCATCGTGCTACTGTTGTTGCCATGGTAACGTTTCAAGGCCTTTCGAAAACAGATTTGTCAACAGAGGGAGAGGACTCAGATAGTGCTGTGGGTGAGAAACCCCGATCTCGGATTAAATTACCCCCATTGGGGGAGTACAAATACGGTCGAGTGAAGCCTTCTTTGCTCGGCTTTCGAACAGCCTCGGGATTCACTGGTGGGATCGTCGGGCATAAGATGTCCGAGGCCCTCACCAAAGTGGTTGAGTCCGATCCACGCTTTATGGAAACTGTCGTTGTATTCACACAAAAGTTAATAGCATGTAAGTGTCGGGGGAGAAGGGGGGTGGGGGAACTCACTTGAAATCAGGTTCGAGTTTCCAACGAGGTGCGCCCAAAGCTGAGCGCACGAAGAACCTTACATTGAATCTACTCACGGACATGTTGTGGGCGGTGCTGGTCTGCGTATGGGACAGCGAGTCGATCGATTGGCGGCGACGGGAAGCCGCCGGTCCTAACGAGGGTCATAAAAGGGCAATGCATGTGTCGGAGTCCGCGCCCTTTCTACCTACAATGCCAGTGGAGGGAGAAAGTGTGGAGGAGAGAGCAAAGCCGACGAGGAGCTACGCGTATGTGCCTGAGGAGCCTTCTGGTCAACAAGGAGGAAGTGTGAGGAAGGATCTAGGCAAGGCCCCACGGGGGGACGCTGGTGGCCAAGGTAGCGGGATGAGGAGGAGTGTTTCCTTCGCGAAAAAAACCGGTGTTGTGGAGACTCGATCGACGCCGTCGGCGGCCAAAGCCACCGCAGCATCAGATGCCCCTATAGCCCCGAGAAGGAGCATCTCCTATGCCTCTGCACTACCAGCGGAGTTTATGGACTCTAGTGGAGGTTTGAAAATGGGATCCCAAGCTAACGAGGCTTCAATCGAGAAGCAATTGACGGCTAAGATGGTGAGCTGGCCTCAGTACAACCATCCGATGCCGCCTCTTCTTCATTCCTCCCAAGGACTATTATATTCAGCGATCGTTCTTTCCTTGGCTTGGGCGTTAATGTTATCAACAGAATGACGTTTACTTTTACAAGTGTTGTGGTAACATATCCCCTCTTGCTACACTAGGTAGCTCCGAGAACTGTTTGACCCGACGAGTCTCTATATTGGTATTAGATTGAGAATGAGCTCTGATGTCGATACTATGCTCAGTAGTCGCTCTTCCCCTTTATAAATCGGCGTTGTTATCATATGTGTAGCTTCATTCGGTCATTCGTAGATATATTTGAGAAATCAGTACTGGACGGAGATAACGGAGTTGCGAGACAAGATGAGGAATATGGCGCCTTACATGATGGATGCAGTGAATGAATGCTTGTTCAACGAGGAGCCTAGATACACGGTAATAAACACCCACCGTGGGGCTCGAACCCACGACCACAAGGTTAAGAGCCTTGCGCTCTACCGACTGAGCTAGACGGGCTTGTTGGTGAATATAGCATGGTGTATTTTAGTTCGAACCAGACGAGTTCATGGCGGAGCACCAGTTGGAATACGTCGAAGCTGTGATTCGCGAGAAGACAAAGTTGGTGGCCACAAAATGTTCCGCTGCGGCAAAGCTCCAAATCGACAAGACGGTGAAGCTCCTGCAAGAGGCTCGAGCCAACTTGATTCGAGTTCAAAAGAAGGTGGCGGATCTCGAGGCCACCAACGAGGCTTTGGAGAAGAAGGTCGATATTCTAAGGAATCAACTTAAGCAGAGTAAACCTCTTTGCTGCTGGATTTGTAGAGCATTACTCACAGGTCAGCGGCAGACGGGCACGTCGAGAGGCGGCGGGTCTTCATCGGGGACGGGAGGGGGTACGTCGTCGTCGTCCACGGAAGAGAAGGAAGAGATGGATATGGGAGAGAGGCTGATTGAGGCTGAGGACCGGATAGCGGAGCTTCAGTTGATGATTAATCGACTAGAGCAGGAGAGGTTCTTGGCAGAGGGAGATGCGGAGGCGCTGATGATGGCGAAGAGTGGTATGGATGCCATGGGAGCTCAGGTAAAACAAGTCGAGTTGGGCTGGGTTACGATAGAAACACACTCTTACTATATATGATTGAAAACATTGGAGTTTCACCCGTGACAGGGAAAAGCATATTTTACAAACTACTGCATATCACCGCGAATATCAGGTTTTTCACACATAGTACTACGGCACTTCTCGTAAAACGGGTGAACTTCCATTGTTGCAAATAGCATATAATGGAAAAACAATATAGCAAATATATCAAATAGCTTATTATAAGTAATATACGTTATTTACTAGTGATTACTAGTGACATGAATAGTATTAGGAATGATATTACACACTTTGAAGTATGAGGATAGGAACATATCCGTTGAAATAGCAGTGTGGTAATACCTAGTGTAGAGCGATTTGATCGATTGTTATGATAGTAAGAATGCTTATCAGGAGGAAACGGCCAGAGTTGCGCGACTCGAGGAGGAGTTGGAAGAAGCTCGAGCGGAGGCAGCTAGGTGGAAGCAGGCGTTCGAAACGAGTGATTTCAAGCTGAATGTTGCTACGCAGGATTTAGGTGAGTTGAAATGCCCTGACTGGGGATCGAACCTGCGTGATGGCAGATGCTCTGCAGAGGAAGTTCGATACTGGTGTGGGTGGGCTGGAAGGTCATTGTAAAGATCTTGAAAGTGAGCTGGCTGCGACTAGACGAGCTCTTGAGGAGGTAGCCTGGGTGGGAAATACAGATTAGGTCTACTGAGATTCAACTGCGTCCTCTTCATGATCACTGGTTGTCAGGCTAATGAGGCTTCGGCGAAACGAATAGAAGCGGCCATGAAGTCGTTGCAAGCCGCCAATGGTGAGCTCCAAAGGCAACTAGCTGAAACCAAGAAGGAGAAGGAGATATGGGAGAGGAAGGCTGAGGTGGCCGAGAGAGAGGCGGAGGCTGCTAGGGAGGCGGCGCTAGAGAATAGGGCGAGAGAGTAATAATGGAGGAGGGCGGGATCGAACTTGGGATCTTCTTCATAGAAGTCGGCAGCTCCCCCATTAAGCCGGAATTGTTGCTTTAATTGAGGAGGGGCTCTTTCGTCGTTGTGAAGTGTAGAATTCAAACTCTCAGATTAGAATGTTCAATTGAAACCTCATACTTCGTTCGGTCAAGCAGCCGAAGAAAAGCCACCATTTTTCCCATCGTTGGGTTATTTCCAGGCCATCTGCTGTTCCGATCGCCGAGTCTGCTGGGGGAGGCGGGAGGGAGGCTGAGAAGATCAAACAGCTCGAGAGGGAGTTAGCAGTAATGGTGTTAGTATGGCGTTGGAAATATTGTGTATTCCAGCGGTCTGTGGAGAAGTTGAAGACAGTTCAAGAAAAGCAGGGGGAAGGAGAGTCGGTGAGTATTAGGGAAGAATGCGAGGAGTGGAGGGAACGTGCGGAACGGGCTGAGGCAGAGTTGGAGAAATTACGGTCAGTTTTGGCGGAAAACGAAGTCGAGATGGGTGAAGCAAGGGAAGCGGCGTTGAGGAAATCCAAAGGGAGCGCAAGATGAGCAAGATTTGCATCAGATTGGTAGAGAGATTTTACCCGAGGGG